GTTCTGCATCCTATAATTTAATTCAAAGTGGTATATAAATTTATATTTATTTACCTATAAATAAATCCCACTTTCATTGACTGTATGCCTGTTTCAGATACCGCTCTTATGTACATAATAGCTTACTGAAAATCTTCAATCAATAGCTTACATTACTAAAGTCACTACAAATTGTGCCTAATTCTGGAAATGAAAAAGAAAAGACTGAAGCAAATCCATACAGGAAGTTAAGAGAAAATGTTCTATAGATCTATTAGGTATTATAGAATCTCCTATTTTAAAAAAAAGTTTTAAAATTTCATAAATGTACTTTAATTTTATCCACTTGTATTCAACACAATTAGTAATTTATTTCAGTATGACACTTCATATTCTAAAACTTGTAATTAAGACTCTGCCTCGTAAGTTAGCAAATAATTATTTCTTGGAAACAGAAGTCTCAAAAGGGCTGTCATCAATTAATACACTCTTGGGAAACTGGCCATTTTTAAAGTTTTAGTAATAACTATGATTTCTAGGGAGAAGGAAAAGAGAGTTTAAGGTAATTTAAGAACAAAATTAAAATAATACAGATTTTTTAAAAAGAAAAAGTAATTAAGTGAAAAAGTTTACATGAGCATAAAGTATTAAAACAGAATAGCACTTATTAAGTTGCAAATTTGAGAACAAGCATCAAATGTTAAAAAAATGTTTTTACTTCTGAATGCAGAACAAGAAAAAGCTACATTCCACCTCTACATACCCAGCTTATATTAATGATTTTTTTCAAAAAAAAAAAAAGATTTACTTATTTTTATTGGAAAGGCAGATATACAGAGAGGAGGAGAGACAGAGAGGAAAGTCTTCGCTCCACTGATTCACTCCCCAAGCGGTTGTAATAGCTGGAGCGGAGCCAATCCGAAGCCAGGAGCCAAGAGCCCTGTCTAGGCCTTCCTCATGAGTGCAGGGTCCCAAGGTTTATGGGCCGTCCTTGCTAGACTGCTTTCCCAGGCCACAAGCAAGAAGCTAGATGGGAGTGGGACTGCCAGGATTAGAATCAGTGCTGACATGGGATCCCGGCATGTTCAGGGTAAGGACTTTAACTGCTACGCTATTAAGCCGGGCCCTATTTATTATTATTGAAATCCTTACCTCAGAGTTTACTCTGGAAGTAAAGTCTTAAGTTACATTAATAACACTTGTTACTGCTGATACAGCAATATAACTTATTTATTGAAAGCCTACCTTACAGATAATAAATCTTATTTATTATTATTGAAGTCCTTACTTCCAGAGCTTACTCTAGTAGCAAAGTCTTAAATTAGATTAATACCACTTGTTACTGCTGATGCAGCAGTGTAACTTTTATTTATTGAAAGCCTACCTTACAGATAAACAGTATTGGATATTATTTCAAGCTGGGAAATTTTTAATATGGACACTGAACTATGCCTGGTTCTTCCTGCTGAGGTAAAGTTACTCTAATAAAAGCTTAAGAATTATTTAATTACACATTCTGAATTTAAAAATCACCCACTGTACTACTTATCTAGAAAAGATGATAAATACTTAAAGCTAAATTTCTGAGTCCTGATCTGAATCTGAGTAGATGGAGCACAAGAGGTTCAGTTGTAATCAGAGCTAATTTCAATGACACTTCTAATAGAAATGCATGGTTAAAGTGTACAGTATATGCTATATGAGTGCCACATTAAGAACAGTGTGTCAGGACTCAGTGGTTTTGGCAGTTTGGTGTTTCAAAGAGAACAATCAGATCAATTTGTAACGGTTTGCACTTTGAAAGGAAATGCTGCATTTGGTTTTCCAGACACTAAGCACAAGACACTTCTCTGCTAGGTTGTACCCATTGCCGGTGAGCACAAGAATCAGGGCTGGGGGGAGGCCAGCCTGGACAAGGTGGCAGTACCTGTCAGCACACATGAAGGCTGGGTCTGGGGGCAGGCTGGGCTGAGCCAAGCTGTAGCAGAGGCTGGCATGCACAAAAACTGGGGCTGGAGGAGTATGCATCCCAAATAGGCTGCAGTACCTCCTGGTATGTGTAAAGATTGATGCTGTGCTGCACTGGCTGGGCTCGGCTGAAGCACCTGTTGGCTCACATGAGATACGGGGCTGGGACAGAACTAAGCTGTTCTATCCACCAGTATGTGCGTTTGCTGCCATAGGTGACAGATTGAACCTGATCCTGCACTGACACGTGTATACAGAGTCAAGTCTGAGGTCACCCCTGGAAAGGTTCCTTGGGGTCTCAAGAGAAAAATCACAGAATATGTGGTCCAATCTTGGAGTGTATGTGTCAGAACTGGGCCTCCTCAGTTGCTAATGTCTGTGCAGCAGACAGCACGCCCAGATGCATACAGGAGACATAATGGCCAGCTCATCGAGGCCAGTAGAGGATGTTGATTGCCTTGTCAGAGGACAGAAAGCAGAACAAGCTGGACAATTCTCATGGTCAAGCTTCGTAGCATGTTCCAGGGCTTGTGGATGCACTAGTGTGGACTATGTCAAGCAACAGATCTTGGGAAGATTTTCTCAACCCTGGTGCAATAAAACTGATGACATTTCAGAACTATCAAAACCACTCAAATGATACTCCTCCACATCAAAGTCTTTGAGGCATCATCAAAAGACTGCCCCCTATCCCTGGGTGTTGATGTAGTTTGACAGCAAGGAACAACTCCTTCCCTCTCCTTTCCTGTGGATGCAGGAAGGAAAATAAAAAATGAAACATTTGTCTGACCTACCTTCTTTCATACCTGACCCTACCCACCCAAATCAGAGGTCCACATGGACATGCATCCCTCTCAACTCTGTAAATGATAATAAGACATTCAAGGTTGAAGACCAAAGAGTAAAAAGGAGAACTAATAGGCATCCTCTGATCTTTCATTTTAGAGGAGGGAAATGCCTACACTTCAGCCTTACGAAAACACCCCTGTAAGTGGACATCACAGTCCACTTTGATAGCAGTATCAAAGCTTGGCCTTTTTAAATTGGCTTATTTAGCCTCAATGAGTTACTTTAGTGCTTTCTGGTTGCTTATGCAAGTCCCACACTGGACAACAGGCCTAAGGATAATATCTCTATCAACAGTTTTTCTGTAGGAATAATGATTTATGGGAAGCAGAAGTAATATACAAAGCAAATGAAACATGAAGAGAATATTTCCAATTCACTCAAAATATGTAAAAAACAACATTATAAAGGTCAGAAAGCAGATGGGATTTGTAGCACTAAGAGGATGTGTTAAAGTGAGGGTTTCACAGAAACTTATTATCAAAGTGGGAAGTGGGTGGGTACCATCACAGAATGAAACACTATGAATGATCATGCCATTAAATGCACATTCTAAACAACCAATAAATATAAGAATTCTCCTCTTTTACAGAGCTCTAAGATTTAATGCTACAACCAATAAATCACAGAAAATAATGTGCAGTTGACAAAATATCTTTCACTAACATTAACTGGCATAAGGATCTGATAAATTGGCATTAAAACATTTATTATATAATTTTATAATATAAACATAATTTGAGCATAATGATACATTATATTAAGTATGCCCTCTGTTGAGTAAATCAAATATATAAATAACATTGTGAATACATGAAAGAGCATTGTCCAGGACTATCTGGCCAAACTGCAGGGCTGGGATTTGAACTGAGACCTCTGTCCAAATGCAGTCTTATTCTCATGTATCAGAAGTCCCCCATTACTCTTCATACTTGAATGAACTCCCTGTGAAAACAGCAGGACTGTAAACCATGCTGACCACTCCTGCCCTCGTCCTGGGGATGGTAACTCTAGCCCCGAACTACCCTAACTTGGTGAAGGCATTTTGTACTTGGCACTTTGTTCTAGATCCTTACCATAAAACACATAAGGCCTGTCAAAATCCACCTGAGGAAAATATGCTGGTTCCTGGAGTCTGAGAATTTTCCTTTCTCAGAGCAATTCATTACATATTTCAAAGAAATTAATTTCATATTTACATAATTTCTACTGTTTATGCTGTGAGGTACATGAATATTTAGAGAGCCCATACAACTCTACATTGGAGAATCTTTCGCTTGCTGAGAACTTAGGTACCAAATAACAAATGATTACATATCTATTTAGTTTTCAGTTCAGTTATCCTTTGTGAGAATCTAACAGACTGAGAATTTGCTCCCCCAGAAAAATCCACACACTTTTATCCATAGGTAGGAAAGCTGACTGACTCTCTAAAATCTATCCAGGCTCATGAGCTACAAGTAAGTGGATCTAGTATAATAGATCCACTGAATGCCACCATAAAAAGCTTAAACAAAACTGCATGACATTCTAGTAGCACCCCATTAAGGCAAAGGAGCTGCTTTCCCCATCATCTGAATGTCCCTCTACAAATGCTCACTCCCTTTCAAAATCATTTTGTGCCTTCTTCCCCGAGAATGTCTCATGTGCTTTCAGAGTTTCTGGAATGGCCTTTTCATACAGATATGTTTGTAGATAGGCATGCACACCAAGACAAACTTCATTAAAACCAGAAGACACACAGCTCAGCTAATGAATTGTTCTACTTCAAAACTTTTATGGCTTGGAACGCCTTATGCATGGCTTTGATGCCAAAGGGAGTGAAGTCATTAGATGAGTTAATTATATTACAACACGAGCATTTTCTTCTTCTCAAAGAAAAAAGTACTTAGAAAAAAAAAAAGAAAGAAAAAATATTTAGATCTTTTGAAATTTAAATGAATTTCTTAGTAAAAACAGAAAGACTGATGTATAACCAAGACTTGAGGCTTAAAGCAAGGACAAATCAAGAAGATATGAAACTGTTGAGATTAAATGTACTTAAAAACTAAAATAATGAAGCTCACGTTACCACAAAAATGGCTATATTAAAAGAAGTTTTCTGAATGTTGATGTAAGATTTGTTATTAGCAATGGTGTATGTGAACCTAACATATGTGAGATGCATTCTAATGACAGGTTACTGGAGGACTTGAACATACACATACCACGGGCTGCTTGGTGATGTCCACCAGGTCCTTCAGGTTGTAATACTGATGCTTCTCAAAGGCTGAAAACAGCATGTCCAACACCTGCTGCTTATCAGCTCGAGCTCGCTTTCCATCTTCCTTCTTCTTCCTTTCATATTCAATCTATATGGAAAAAGCAAAGGAAACAAAGGAATCCATTCAATGTGTTCAGTTTGAAACACAAGCATTCTTTTTACAGCCATTCCACAACCATTAGATTTGAAGTAGGCCTCTGCAGATTGGTTCAGAACCAGGGGTTCCTGTTACTCCCAGAGATATTAAACCTTCAAGGCTCTGGGACAATAATAATACTGGTCTATTAACTATAAATCATGTGCATTATTTCTTATAGTTTTATGTATGTGTCTATTCCACCCCATCTCTCACCTGAAAGGTTTTTCTTTGCCAAAATTTTTATCAATTCAGTGTTTCTAACTGATTAGTCTGTGGTGATCAGAAACTTAGAATTCCTTTACTTTTTGTTTAACCAAATACAGTAATAAGCTGATCACTGAATAGGTTCTTCAGGGAGTAAAAAGTTCAGAAATACTAATAATAAAGAAATGGTTGGGCAGAGACAGAAAGTTTTTTCTCATCTTTACCCCCACGCTTCTTAAAAAGATATATATATATTTATATATATAATAAACAAAATCTAACTTATCCATAACTTATCAACATAAAAGGATAAATGTATACTTAACACTCAGATACAAGACCTTTTTCTGAAAACCCATTTTATCTTAAAATGTCCTGTGGCCTCCATCCAGTTGTGTAATGCATTGGTATTTCTAACACACACACACACACACACACACACACACACACACACACACACACACACACACACACAATGTCTCATCCAAATAAAGATGTCACTCTAGGGTGAGATGGACGCACGTCCTGCAGTTCTGTGCACCTGCATTCAGGCCTCTCTGGGAAGCAGTGGCATTGAAAGAAGGTACAGGTTCTCTTCCACTGTTATCGTTTTAGGACTGTTCATTTGTAAACAATCATCTTTCTATTGAATTCTCTTCATTGTTTTAAGAACATTTAATTTTAAAAATGTTTTAAAGATTTTTTTTTCTAGGGCCCGGCGCGGTGGCGCAAGTGGTTAAGGTCCTCGCCTTGCACACCCCGGGATCCCATATGGGCGCCAGTTCTATCCCGGCAGCCCTGCTTCCCATCCAGCTCCCTGCTTGTGGCCCGGGAAATCAATTGAGGACAGCCCAAAGCGTTGGGACCCTGCATCCACGTGGGAGACCCGGAAGAGGCTCCTGGCTTTGGACCGGCATAGCATCGGCCGTTGCGCTCACTTGGGGAGTGAATCATTGGACGGAAGATCTTCCTCTCTGTCTCTCCTCTCTGTATATCCGCCTTTCCAATAAAAAAATAATAAAAATAAAAAAAAGATTTTGTTTTCTATAAAACTTCAGATACAAGAGCCAACTTGTTACACAACTTGCTTATAATCTGGGGCTATCTTCATAAATACACAATGCATTACAAAACTTGCACATAAGTTACCATATCAATGCCAGTCTTATGTATTTATGCTTATTCTTCATATTTCAACAACAGAAAAGTATCATAAAAATATAAGATGATGGTAAACTAAAGATATATCTCCCACAGTTGAGACTTTTCACTTAGTGGTAAAAGATAATGTCGACAACAGAGTATCTGATTTTCCTTTTCTTGCTTTCTTTTAAAGATTTATTTTGAAAGGTAGAGCTACAACACAGAGCGAGAAAGAAAGAGAAAGATCATCTTCTATTCACTGGTTCACTCCCCAAAAGGCCATGATGGCTGGAGCTGGGCTGGTCTAAAGCAGGAGCTTCTTTTGGGTCTCCCACAAACGTGCAGGAGGCCCTAGGACTTGGCCCATCTTTTTGCTGCTTTCCCAGATCATGAGTAGGGAGTTGGATCAGCAGCAGCCTGGGCTAGAACTGGTTTCTATGTAGGATGCCTGCATCACAGGCAGAGGCTTAACCTGGCACCTGGCCCAAGCTTTCAATTACATAAAGTCAGGATCCATGGAAAATGGGAAAAACAAAACAAACAAAATAAAAACAAAAAACACTAACTCAATCATCATCACTTTTTAGTATGGACATTCTGGAAGTAAAACTCAAAATTCATTTACTCCCGCAGCAGAGGTACACATGCTTTATGTGTAAGGCACTGTATTAAGATATGGGATAAATATGATAGTCTTCTCCTTCAAGGGTATCTTTTTCTTAGGGTTCATCTACTAAAATGAATATAGACAATTCAAACATTTTAAATGTAGCCACAGTCAATAGAACATGGCACAGATTGTAGTGCTGGAGAGGAATGACATCAGCCACTCTCAAGATTTTCTAGAAGAGAGCATGAAAAAGAACAGTGCATAACCATAGTTCAACAAGGTGGAGGAATCCACCATGGGGGGAGGGGTATGGGAGGGGTGGGGGGAATCCCCAGCGCCTATAAAACTGTACTACATAATACAATGTAAGCAACAATTTAAAAAAAAAAAAAAAAAAAAAAAAGAACAGTGACAGGCAGTTACAAAGGATTTGGAGATGAACAACTAGAAGAGCTAGAAGCAAACGGAGTGGGGAGACCAGAGAAATCCAGGAAGATAGAAAAAGACTATATAATGCATTTAAGGAAGAAAAATCAAAGCAGAAGTACAGATTCTTCCTCGATTCAGCAAAGAGGGAAGCAGAAGGAATTGTACCTGAGGAAGAATTTTCTTTTTCTAGGGTATAAAGGAAAGAACTAAGAAAATGATTATACTCTCAAAAGAGATCAGAACAAAATCCACTGCTTCTTGCATTAAAAACTGGAATGCATTCTGAAATAAACACACTGACCAATGACTAAAACACATTATATTTTCCCTATTTAATTACTTTGTACCCTGAAATCCCCTTCCATTGTTGTACTGTACTTGAACGGCTTATGTTTTGGGTTGCACTGGACAATCTAGAAGAGGAGCCTGCTAAAAAAGTAGCAGAAAGTCTGGGCAGAGGGTCGAGGATAGTGCAATGCTTTATTCTGACAACATAAAGGGTAAGAGAAATTTAACTTTGGATCTAGGAAACTGGAAGACAGATTCATACTAAGGAGAGGTGGGCATATTCTCTTCTCACAGGCTTGAGTGGGATGTGGAATTTCATTTATAGCCAAAGCCAACACTTCAAAAAAGACAATGCAAAGCATGTGGGTACGCTAGCAAAAAACCAAAAAACAAAACAAAACAAACAGCAACAACAAAACACAAAGCAAAACAACAAAACCCCCCAAAAAACCCAAATCGTAAAACCCAAAGCTGAGCTTTTGTACTCTCTGAATGCAGCCTTAGCTATGTAACATTGTTTGTATTTTCTTCTCATTTTTAAATTCATATTTTAAAAAATAAGAAATTAAATTCAAGAAATAGAAAGGAGAAGTGATGGTACATTCAGTTCCACCTGTAGTAGGCTTTTTTTTAACGTAAAATGATTGAAGCAGCTACTAAGATTAACAGCAGAAAAAAATGTCTCAAATAACCATATCCACCGGTACAGTAAGATGGCCCACTTCAGGGAGAGAGCACACATTCTAGCTGGCAGTTGTGAGAAACCTTTTGAAGTATTTGTCATTAAAGTTGGCCTGGCACAGCCCTCGCTGTGCGGCCATTTGGGGAGAGAACCAGCAGATGGAGGATTTCTCTATTTCTCCTATTTTTTTTTCTGTAATTCTTTCAAGTAAATAAAATAAATCTTAAAAAAGAAATGTAATGATTTATTTATTTTTTGAAAAAGACTTAGGATTTAATACCAATCTCTCCGTCATTTACTTTCTAAAGAAGTCTAAAAGCCTCATGTTAAGTGGTACTGAATTCCCCTTTGTGAAATATCCCCAAGATCCACTCCATCAAGAGACACCCTTGGGGGTGTTTGCAATTTTTGCTATTTTCTCCATTTTAAGAGTCCAGACTCCTAAAGAAATGCTGAGACCTTTCTGCAATTGCCAAGTGGCAGGCAGTAATGCACATCTTTCCTCTTTGGGTTGACCTAATTGAAAATGTCACTCTGTGTGGAACTTCATCATGGGTACAATGGCTGACTTGTTTAATGGCTAAAATGGGAAGTGTGGAAAGCAAAAACAAAATTCTGGCTTATTTATAAGGCTGTTGAGGACAGACAGGAGTAGGACTTAGCAGCGTGGAGATGGTTTCCACTTTAGAGCTGGCCTGGTACTACATCTATGAAATCCTTTTGTTGACAATGAGGAGACCTGTCCTTCCACCTCCAAGGTGAAGACTTGCATCTTGGGGTAACACATTTTCTGGATGGAGCCCTCTGAAATATGGAATTATTACTAATTTGAATCAAAGATGACCCCTTCATCCTTATTTATTTAAGAACAAAATGATGGAACATCACTTTCATGTCTAACTAATGTCTAATCTACAGCAAAGATTGTCTTTAATTGAAACAAAAAGTTTTAGTTTTATAATACTGTATTAGTTAGATCTTTTTTGATAAAGGCTCATAATTAGAATTCTCTGTGGTATCATATAAATAGTTCTAATGTATAGATAAGCACAAAATGTGACAGATATTTCCATAGTTATTAAACTTTTAACACCTAATTTTACAAAACTAGGGTCTCTGAGTTTTACAAGTTTTTCTTTGTAAAAAAAAAGTAGTATGCAAATGATAATTTTTGTTTCAATGTGTTTTTAACAAAAATAGTGTGCTTTTTAAAAATTATTTTATTTGAGGCACACAAAGAAAAATCTCTCTCATTTGTCATTTCACTCTCCAAATTCCCTCAGTAGCCTTTGTCAGGAGCCAGGAGCTAGAAAACTCAATCCAGGTCGTGCTATGCAGGTGGCAGGATCCCAATCACCTGAGCCATTTCTGTTGCTCTTAGAGTCTATACCATCAGGAAGCTAGAACAGCAGGAGCTAGAGCCAAATAGCATCCCCAGGGACTTTGCTACAGGATGCCAGTTTTTTAACCAGTATCTTAATTTCTAGGCCAAATGCTTGTCCCTAATGATAACCTTAGGATCACACAAGCTTGCCTATATAAATAAAATTAATTGCAAATACACACTATGATATGAAGTAACTGGTTCAAGAT